GCTGTGGCTCAAGTGGTAGAGCACTAGCCTTGAGCTGAAGAGCTGAGGGACAGCGCCCAGGCCCAGAGTTCAGGCCCCACGACCAGACCCCCCCCCAAAAAAAAAAATTCATCCAGAGTCTGAGATCCGAGGATTATACGTACCAGCCCTCTAAGACTCCTCTAATTAACCACCAAAAAGCCAGAAGTGGCTCAAGTGGTAGAGCGCTAATCTTGAGCACAAAAGCTCAGGAACAGCACCCAGATCCTGAATTTAAACCCTGGGATTGGCACAAGAAAAAAGAAATTCAATGCCTTAAGATTTTGTGTAAAATTTCTTTCTACTCAATGATAAATATGTCCCTTTATCTCACCATAAAAATAATAGGTTAATTACTTGCCAGTCAAATTCCATATCACATCTTTTAAGAAAATGGATTGTTCTAGAATCAAAATAGTAGGTAACTCAGGTAGAGCTCTTTGGCTGTAAGCAGTAGATACAAATCTGACTAAATATAAAGAGAGGTCACTAGATAGATGTGGTGCAGCTCCCAGTTGGCTAATACTGAAAAGCCCTCAGAAGAGAGCTGATCTAGAGCCACTTCAGTGATTCAGGTAGCAGTACTTGATAGGCATTTTCTCAAATTAAGCTCTAGCAGGATTAAACTCTAGCAGTTTTCAATATTACTCTGAATTTTTGTTCAGGCTCAGACTGCGTCTTGCCAGTGCCTTGGTTATTGTCTCACCACGCACTACCCATTGGGGATTTGGGAATTCCCTATCAATAGGAATGGATGAAGGGTGGGTAAAACTAACAGATGTTCCTTGTCCAACACATTTGTAGGCTACTGTGAGTAGCTTGCTTTGTGCATTGTCTGTCACATTTAATATCTGCAACATCCTAGTGATCCTTGATTCACCCTTCCAACCTCATATTCCTCCATGTAGTCCCTCTCTCCCCCCCATATAACGTGGGTTTGAACTTTGGAGTCTTATGCTCATTCAGCTTTGCTTGCATATGGCTAGCAATTTATCACTTGAGCCACACCTGCAGCTGGCATTCTGATGGTTATTTTGGAATATTATAGACTCACTTGCCTGGACTGGCTTTGAACCATGATCTTCTGTACCTCAGCCTCCAGAGTAGCTAGGATTATAGGCATGCATATCTAGCAACCTCTCTAAGGGTTTTTAAAACCAAGTTTGAGAAGCATTCTTTGTTTATACATCAATTACTTCTATATTATTTTTCAGCACTTAACATCTCTATTTTCACATGCTAATCTTCTGTAAAAACATGTATTTCTTGATTTTACTTACCTAATTTTTTTTGGGGGGGTCTAGTTGTGGGGCTTGAACTCTGGGCCTGAGTGCCACTTGCGGCTTTTTTTTTCTTTTTTATCTAATTTTTATTATTACTCATTTTCTGCTGTGCTAGGAATCAAAATTCGAGTGTTGCATGTGCCATCTGCCTTTTCTTGATTTTTTTTTTTGGGGGGGTGGGTTGGTCTTGGGGCTTGAACTCTAGGCTTGAACGCTGTCCTTGCACTCTTTAGCTCAAGGTTAGCACTCTACCACTTGAGCCACAGTGCCACTTGCGGTTTTCTGGTGGTTAGTTGAAGAGTCTCAGGGACTTTCCTGCCCAGGTTGGCTTTGAACTGCAATCCTCACATCTCAGC